CACATTGTGTACATTCATTTAATTATAGAGCGTAATATTATCACATTGTGCATATTCATTTAATTATAGAGTGTAATAATATCACATTGTGTACATTCATTTAATTATAGAGCGTATTGATATAGCTTTGAACATATTCATTTAATCAGTGAGTGTAATAATATCACATTGTGCATATCCATTTAATCATAGAATGGAATAATATCACATTGTACATATTCATTTAATTATAGAGTGTAATAATATCACATTGTGTACATTCATTTAATTATAGAGTGTAATAATATCACATTGTGTACATTCATTTAATTATAGAGCGTAATATTATCACATTGTGCATATTCATTTAATTATAGAGTGTAATAATATCACATTGTGTACATTCATTTAATTATAGAGCGTATTGATATAGCTTTGAACATATTCATTTAATCAGTGAGTGTAATAATATCACATTGTGCATATCCATTTAATCATAGAATGGAATAATATCACATTGTACATATTCATTTAATTATAGAGTGTAATAATATCACATTGTGTACATTCATTTAATTATAGAGCGTATAATATAGCTTTGAACATCGTCTTGACCTATTAATTTGTTTTATAGACTTAAAAATACAATTAAAAGTTTACAACACTTGTGGTATAACTGTCAAATGTCAAACATTTTCATATGTATAATCATCGGGTGTTTTCTGTCCATAACGGAGTCCCTCATATTCGTTATTGTCTGTACCGCCTCTAACAAGCGACATATAGTGATCGGGCTGGATTTGCACTGCATCCGAGACGCTTTCATATGCAACGTTGACTGGAGTATTTTTATTATCATCCATGCCTTTTCCCTTGTTGATGTTGGCACTGATCGTATCTATTTTGACGGCATCGTTTTTCGTCTTTTTAAAGCGTTGAATACACGACTGTAGATGGCCAATACGATACATGTAGACCAGAAACACAACAACAGTAAACATTACACCTCCTATAAATGCTCCAATAATTAATCCCGAGAATGCACATTCAAATATCGGGCATTCTATGGAGCTACTTATCAATTCTGTTTGGTTCTTGGTGGATGTTTCATTACCGGTTGGTTCTGGTAAATATATCTCTATGTCAGCATTTGCCACGCCCACACGGTTAGTTACTGTGCATTTGACACTAGTTCCATTGTCTTCAGATGAAACGTTCATAACTTGAAGCATGTCCCCAATCCCCATAATCCGAAAACGACTTGACTCGACCACGTGCTCGTTATTAAAGTACCAGTTAAATGACACCGGTTGGTGTTTACTTTCAACTGTGCATGCAAACAACATGCTACCATCGACCTGAGTGAATACTAAAATGACTGGTGGGGCCGGTATTATTTCAATAGGAGTTGTTTCACATATTCCTGTTTCTATTCCAGCCTGGGTTGCTTTACAAATGAATACCAATCCATGGTCGTCAATGTCTGGCTGAAATGTGTATATCAAATATGTCGTATTACCGATGGGTTCAGCATAAGTTATGGTCTCATTTCTTGAAGATATGAGACTTAATGTACTTGGCGGATCACCTCCACGACTTTCACAAACTATTGTTTTTGTACCAGCATGCTTCTCGCTGATTGCCTGTAACGGTGTAATTGTACATAATGGATAGGGATCGATTGGTGGGACGACGACTATTAGCTGGTATTCCATATATGGATATATAAACGGAAAGACATGAACAAAATAACGTCCCTCGTCAATTTTTTTAACGTTAACAATGGACATTCCTGCATCTACTGTATCGTATTCGGTGGAGAGTGAGTACTTTTCATTGGTACTGCAATGCCTATTTATATCGACGTCCCAACGAAAATCCCAGCAAACAGAATGTTCTGGTGTGTCCCAGTAAACATCAAAATATCCATGCACATTCGCGGTCTGCACTACATGTGTTAGTGTGATGTTCTCACCTTCCAACACGGCAATTTCAACCTGGCTATCCACATCGAAGAACATCAGTGATGTGCAAATGATCACAAACATCAAAAATACTCCCAGATACATCGTGGTGAAGCTGTAATGCACCTTGCAATACAAAACAATATAGTTATTTCCTGTTTCCTGGTTTGCTTACAAATGGTATTGCCATTTCGTTTGTATACATTGTGTGTATACAGCGTAGTTGTCTAACTTAAGTGAACCTTATCACGACAGCAAGTGCCACTTTACGTTAACACGTGACGAGCGAGTGTGTTATGACTGAGTGAACTTTAAATCGAAAACAAACGCCGTAATCGTGATATGCGTTTCTGTGTCTGCTTGATAGCACTCTGACAATATAATTAGTACGAATGGCCCTGCTAATTTAAGTGTAGCAATCACGGTTATGGTCAGCATCTAGTGAAGTTCACAAGATCACTGACAATAAGTATTGCTGTAAAAAAACTGCGAGGTGCGGTTACTGACTTATACACAGCAGTCTGACTAAGACGTGAATAAAGGTTCACATTGCTTCGCCCATTGTTCTCAATGGAACGGACATTATTAGCACAAAAGGCTGTATTGTCGTGCATATCACACGACAACAAACGGTTTTTTTTTTTGAACGTCTTTTTTTGCATAGCTATCCCAACCGGTATCCCAACCAGATATATGTACTATGAATACGGATGTCATAGTTAAAATATACTATTACTGGACTTTTGCAATAGTTGAAAAAAAACTCTCACCCGCCTCTAAATCTCCAATTCTTGACCAAGCAGAAATGCCTGACAACAGCAACAAGTGTGTGAATTCCTCATCTAAAAATACACAAACCAAAACGGTGGTTGTTGCTGATATACAAATATCCCGATCACAATCTGCAGAGGAAAAATGTAGTTGCATCTGAAAAACAACTTAGAATTACAGAACTTATTAACAAATTAACAACTTGAAATGTGGAGTTTCAGAAATAAACAAACGACCAGAACAATCGGCATAGAATAAAAATAGATTTTACAAAAACAATCATTTGTCAATGAATCTAACTTGCATGGTGGTACCCCGTGACACATATCACTAATGATGTGTGCAAATGACATGACATGGTTTGTTCTGATTACATTTCACAATTAAATATTAATTTATAAAAGCTCTAAACAGCAATGTATGGATCCAAGACTCAGTGTTTGGCCAAGTGTGATCTTTGTATAACTGTGTGGTAAAAATTCAAGATGCCCGACACACCAATAGATTAACTTTTATTTGTTGTGTATTTAAAACCGATATTTATATGGAGCTTTTTCAGTTTATTTCCAATAAATTATGACTGCTAAACCACGTGATCAATCACAGTACGCTTCTACATACATTTAATTTAATTGTTATACCATTTTTCAGAAATTACATATAGTATGACAAGTCATGTCACAGAATATGGATGCTATTGATAAGGCCAGACTTTTATTATCCCTTGTTTCGCGAGCCCGCCGAATAAACAGGAGCCAGAAATGAAATAAAAATAACATTTTATTTCAGCGTAATTTCTCGCGCCCGCCGACTTGTAAGTGCAAAAAATTGCTAAAAAAAACTTATTTTTATCTTCATTTTTTTCCGCCCGCCGCATAACAAACCCAAGTTGCATTTTTGTGGGAGTATCCTGATCAAAGTACCGAAGTCTCGCGCAGATGAGAAACAAGGTTATACATGGAATAAAATTGTATTTCATTTCTTCTCTCCGATCAATGATCTCACTTACAATTCTTTGAGAATCACACAAAAATCTAATGGAAAAAAAGAATTATTTTATTTTTTTCCGCCCTCCGCAAAAAACATTGCCTTATTACTCGAGAAAAAACATTGCCTTATTACTTGCCTTATTACTCGAGAAACAAGGAATAAAAAAAGTCTGGCCTAATATTGAAAAAAATACAGATATATCAAATATGGTACAAGAAAAGATTCAAATTGCTCAAGCCACCACAGTAAGTACAAGAACAGTATACTTCCTGGTTTTCTTAAATCTAACAAATCTAACTACGTGAACATTCATGGTGGATTTGGTGCTGTTGATCTTGTAAGAGGCCTAACTAAACCAATGTAATTATAAACAAAAGTAATTGGTCGAGTAGTGAACATAATGTGTAAGCCGTTTTCTCGTTAATCCAATGTGGTGATCGAGCCATGTGACTTACTTTTTAACATACGCCCTCTATTGGCAATTTGTGGAAATTGTAACACGATAGCTGTTTCGTATCCCGGGACATGACTAGAAAAATATTAACGGCTGAATTGTAATCTATCAAAATATATGTGAAAGGCGTGCTCGGTATGCAAATAAGGTTAAATTATTATTGGGTGACGTATGCTCGTTGAAGTATCTGACTTGTAATTTTTAAGTTGTGTTATTTTACTCTGATTTTAAAAAAATAAGTGAATTCTTCAAAGTTGTTTGTATTATGCTCATAATAATCAAATTGTTTTAAAGCTCATCCAAGTGATGTACTTGACACTCCTATGATCAAAATGGTTTGGTCGTATTATTAACGCAATACATAACAGATTTTCCACACTCCTGATTCAGTGGGAATAAGCCGTGTTGTTGCTCTCTGATGACTTGTTGGTAACATTTTGTTGATTAGTAAAATAATTACATAACAGCTATGAGATCAAGGGTTAAAACCTGTCCACGATCTGATGAACGAGACACATTGCATTGCAATTTGTGTACGTGTGCAAGCAAGGTATGGTATGAAATAGAATACTTGGATGAATTCAAGTCGCACTGTGTTGGATTAGTACTGGGTAAGTACCACACAAATCAGAGTGTGAATCCCGGGAGTGAGGGAATCCCATTCGTGATGTGTTGTGCATGCGCAGAACTTACCCATTAGATCCTCAAATAAATGCGATTACCATGTGAAGGATGTCAATACAGTGAATGTGTCATATGTCGTCAGAGGTCTATGTAGGTCTCTAAATATAAAATGACATGTGTGCACAAAACTGTATGGTTTATCCACAATAGTATTCCCCTTTCTCTGATAAATAGTTTGTCACAAAAATAAACCCCGAAAAGATTAATAGACAAGATTAGAATGAATACTAGTCGACGTTCAACGATTTAAATGTCCCCACGAGTCCACCAGCTGGATCCATACCACTTTTTACACCACCTAGGGCTTCTTTAGATTTCGGAAACCCGTAGTTATTATTCTCAGTAAATTTTGCCTCTTCTGCCACCAACCGATCGATCCACTGTCTGTTGGTTACATTTTGAAGGACTCCACCATATTCCGCTGGCAAGATTGATGATGGTATGTGTTGGTGCAAAGTATCGAATTCAGTTCCATGAAAATACAACTACAGTGTAGACAAAAGAACACACTTTGTTGTAACAAAAAAGAAAAATGAAACTTAATTCTATCAACTGGCAACCGAGTAAATGAGTAAGTCAGAATATGAGCTGGTCTATTTCCTTTTACCCTATATATCGTAAGGCTTGTTTATTTCAGTCACGGAATCACGTCTAACTCAAGTCAACAGACAAATTATTCGTGGGCTGATTAGAACAAAATATACCAATTATCACGTGACACTTTTCTAACAGTTTGTCCGGGTTCTTTGTGCATTTGATATTTTGTTGTGAAATAAATGTCAGCTATCCTGACTCTAATTTTTACTAAGCAAATATGTGTTTCCGTAGCACAAACTCTATAACAATTTCATACATGGAAACATGGCGCTTATGGTTCCTGTTGATGATGGCAGATCCACAATAACGACGCAAACAACACGACTCCTTCAGCAATAAGTATAAATAATATGTAATATAAAGGTCAGTCTAAAATGACTGAATACACTCTTTTTGTTTTATTAGCTTGTAGGTTGATCTATTTTTGCACACATTGATAATTCAAAGACTCGCCCATCAGTGACCCAGATCGATCGATGTAGAGCGCCACAACACACTTACCCTCTTGGTCATCTTTTCAGTGAGGAAGGGTTTTATAATCCCGAATACTATGTCAAATAGTTTTGACTGGTTGACATGGTGTATAGCCTTTAATCTCAGTGGCATGGCATTCTGTAGAGTGAAATACACAACATAATTACGTATAAATGGCAATATAGGCACATTGCATCGATTGCATGTCATACGAACGTAAGACTGAATATGATACATACAATGACCAGTGACCATGTTTTTAAGGAATTACTATATATTTCATACATGGCATGGATCAATTCAACCATCTAATGTGAAATCAATGCTGTTGACCGATCACAGTGACATGCAACCACAGTTTATTTGTCACCCACCCCGAATTATCTATTTTACCACTTAATATTTTGAAAATAACTGAAGATATCAAAATTGATCACACTATAATTTTATATAAAGTAAGAGGTCTTTCAATGCCTTTGGTAAATAAGTTTCAAAACAAAATGGCCGCTACTACTGCATGCTCAATATAAAGCAGTGTGAATTATTTTTCAGTCACCTGAATTATATCGGTAAGTTTTCGCATTATAATAGGGTTCATCTGTTTAGCATGGTTCATGGTCATTCCCGCATAATCGACAACAAACACAATACCATTTACTTGTGTTTCCTCGTCTTCTGAGAGCATCTCCAGGAGAAGTAGAGTTGACTTGAAGCACGGTATGGCCGAATATGTGTCTGTGTCCCATCGTCCTGACAAATATTGAAAAATATTATGCTAATAAAAAACTCACTTTAATATAAATGCTCGTCTTTGGGCTGTCATATGGCATTACAAACTGAACCATATTGCGACAGTCTGGTGAATTATTCTCAATATATAAGTAAACCAGCACCAATGTAATATATGGTGACGAAGAGAGTTATTTCACACTCTGATGAATTGTTGCTACTATGTCAGCAGAATTGTTTTATTCAAGCTAAACATTAAACTATATTGAGTAAATCAATGACTTTATTTTATAAAATGCACTTCTACAGCAAAATAAAAATGAATGACAATAGAAATAAATTCATTTTTCGCTGTAAAATAGAAGTTCGAAGTAAAATTATAAAAGCAAAAAAACAGGTGACAATTTTCATATATATATGTTTCGATTTATTTACAAACATCAGTTTACAAACATCGTACACTAGTTCATAGAGTTTGCATATCACGGTGTTCTTTTACCAGAACAATATATTGAGCCAATTGCCGTTCATCTCAGTCCGATGCCGTATTACCCACAGCACCATTGACATTATTAAATATATTGCGAAATAAAATCACGACATAAATAGGCGGATGAAAACTGGAGAAAACGGTTATGAGAAATAGTATATTATATAAGTAATGAAGTTTGACGTTGTCAGGTATTTGGGTGTATTGACAAAACAATACTTACCCGGCCTTTTGATGAATATTCGGCGTCCATCTTTGTCTCTACCTGGCAATACCAAATCAACCTCGTCCCCGAGTGGTTGCGGGACTGTAGATGGTGCAAACTCGGTAAAGATATCCATATACTGGGACCTCACTTCATAGTAATGAACTAATGTATTGAAGGCACGCTTAACATCAAATTTTCGGACTCGTAGAAAACGTATTAAAAAAGAGTCGTCTAAACGGAACTTGATATCGGGTCTTTCGCGGAACATAGCGCGTAAATCTGCCAATTGCTGCTGACGTGACTCCGGGTTTTCGTTCAGTTCCCGTTTTGCCTTCTCTATTAGATCAGGACTCAGTGTACAAACGTAGTCATTATTACGACTCATATCTAACAACAAATGATGTAACACTCCAAACTAAAAGCAAATTAAAAGATGCGATTGGTTACACAATATATGTGTAAACGAGGCTGACAATAAGGCAGTTGAACCTTCCGTCGTAGAACAAGTATTTACGCGAGTAAAACCTGTACACGCACATTCAGTCAAAAAGACAGATTAAAACAAAAACAGGAAAAAACGGAGGTCATATTTAGCTCAGCCCAAAGAGGCAACAGAATGAAACAGTACAAACGCGATATAGATGCCAGATGTGTGCAACGAGATATTATTTCAAAAGTGGTAAGTAAAAATTGAACAAGCGAGATTATATCACTAATTATTGGAAATGATTTAGATCAATAATATACTAGTGTTCTCATGGGGATGACTATCCTCAGTATCCGAGAGATGATATTATCTCCATGGTGATGGGCAATATTTAAAAACAGTGTCATAATACTATTTTCATAGTGATGTCAATGATTGGTTACTGCGAGATAATATTATCTCCATGGTGATAGCAGGCAGGTCGATGCTAGGACAAGCGATATCACTATCGTTCGTGACATGCGGATAAACCCTAATTATTAAATTCCTACTCAGCCCTGTCATGAACCAGGTTTAGGTTATCGTACCAATACAGTCTAATTCGAGTGTCCTAAACGGTAATATTTTCTATTAAACATCCATGCTACACTCGGACTGATACCAAAATGGAAAATCTTGCGTTAGTCACTGTCTTCCCAAAAATAACGTCATAAAAGGTATTTTCGTCCAAGAATAGCGTAGATAAGGCACTAACCCAACATCCACTATAACTAACAGGTCCAAAACAGTGTGTGAGTGAGTGCAAATTTAATTCATATTGATATTCCATTGTCTTTCATAACCTGTTTCTATCCTCCATCACGTTGACTCTTTTCTCTTCGTAATAAATTTGGACAAGCAAGATTGACCAATCTGCATGTTGGTAATGGTAGTACAACCAATGTTTTCATATAGACTGTTAGCTTCGATGCAGTGCCATCCATGTGTATTATTTAGACGTACATAGTTCGTTTTTAGCCAACTTGAGTTGTAAATTATAATTGGAAACGCCATTTTTATTCATGTTAAGTGAAAGGCATCTATTCACATTTCACATAAATTCTCGGTAAATGGTTCACTCGATGCAATTTCTATGACGACAGAAAGATCTACTGAGATGGTCGACCGTAAAAAAAATATTTGATCGTCCTATGTCCCAAGTCCTTTTCCCTCTTCTATCTTTAATTCCCTCGATATTAAGTAATTTGGCAGAGCAAAAAATTGAACTTTGGGTTAACTGACCAGATTACAGAAGCCAGAGTCATTAAAACATTTTTTCTAAAGAAGTATATTCGCGAGTGAGATTGATGACGTTAATTTTTGAAACAGGTAATATTGTGTCTGAAACATGAATGAAAGTACATATACTATGTACCTAATAAGCTCAAATGTCAGTCCATGTGAAAACAATCTGTGCGTAAAATTAAAACACTTGCCGTAACTGGGCACGTTTAACCAATATTTCGCAACATTTTTGGCATTAGGTGTGCGAAAAAAGATTGTTACATATTTCATGTAAAAGTTTACAAAGGAACACTAATATTTCTATCCATAATTCTGATGGCCAAAAATGTTGGTTCACTTGCTCGATTGACTTAATCATTATTGTATATAATAAAAATTTATATCTGAAATTTCAAATTCTTAAATCACTAAATATATATCGAGGAAAACTTACTAATTGTGGTAACACTGATGGATTAGACCGTTCATGTGACATGACACATTTTTCATTTAAATTTGGGATTTGGGATTAATATTACCAAAACAAGCGACTGGGTACCTAATTATTTCTTGTACGTATATTGAATGTGTGTGTGTGTGTGTGGGGGGGATTCTTTTATAAATTGAATTTAATTAGTGTACGCGTTTATTCCTGCATTACAATTTTGTAATGGTCATGCGAAGAGACGTGGACAATACACATGAGCACCAGAAATATATTTGCAATAGTAACCAAAGGTGGACATTTCCCAACATCTATTTGATTAGGTATTAACCAGGTCAATCAAGAAACACTGTACGGATTTCCAAATCATTTGTGTTGTTCAATGTCTCAAGTACATCCACAGTTTGCTCGTTTGGTGTTTACTTCAACACAGTCAGTACACTGGTACATTGGATTTATGATTTTACCAGAGTTATTTGCTGGTGAACATTCGTACATTCATACAATTGCACACAAACAGCGTCACGTCACAGCAACTTAATACGCCGACTTAATTAAACTATCGCTTACATCAAAGCATATTTTATTTCAAATTCATTCTGACACACGAGATATGGTGAAACCAATATGGCAATTATACAAAATAAAGCGGATCAAAACATTTTAGTTGAAATATTTATAAACCAATGATGAGACGAACATATATACTATATATATAACATAGAAGTCACAGCCTATGTAAAGCAAAGATATGCTAAGATAATTTTAAGACACATTTCCACATGTATCTCTGAAAATATATGTGCTAGACTTGCGAACAGGAAACTATGTCTGGAAAAGATTTGAGAAACACAATAAATTATTGTATTGGTGGCGATAATAGCAAGCTAACCTTATATCCTCGCTTCCATTTTATTACATACAATACAAAAACCTGCATAAATGTATACATATTCTTTTGGTATACAAATTGTGTTCAAGACTTATAGCCAATAAGAAATTATTTTCATTTCAATATCATATTAAATGAATAGTTTTGTCCAGTGTGGTGAATCGACTTGCAAAAAATATAATTCAATATATTCACTTTGTTCATCTCGTAAATGTCAGTGGTTATACTGTTGTATGTTATTTGCTGACAATAAGTGAGAAAATCAGTGAAATTCAAATCATGTTAAAAAAATAGAATCATCAGCATTTTCAAAAATTTGTAATTGATAATTATAATTCATTCAAAACAACATTTCTCAGTAATCGAATGTTGTAAATGAGAAAAACGTGGATGTTGTATATTTATTAAACATTAATGCATATAATGATAATCACTTTGAATATAGCGTCTAATTTGTTGAAATATTTTAAAATGCAGATGTATGCCAAATTTATTACTTCAAACTTGTTCATGGCTTAGTCAGAAAAAATGAAAAGTTATTTGTCAACAAACTATTGTATCTATTGAAATATGCCAGGGGATTGCGTCGAACATCTTTCACTTTCTCAAGAACCTCCAAAATGTCTGTCTCCAAAACATGACTCAGCATATTATTCTCTGGAATGAAGAAGTTAGGAATGTTACGCTTTGTTAAACCAGCGATGATGTCATCGATGAGTTCCAGGAATCTCTCCCCCATGTTTTCCTTTGTCCACTGTATCGGAGGAATTTTCTCACATCGCCAGAATAAAGTAGTCTTCAAATGGTATGAGGACAAGACCTTGGGTTTCTGATCAAGAGAAAAAAACTAACGTTTGTAAAATATGTCTCAAAACTAACTGACAAATTTAATTTCAACATTATTGGCATGGAATAAAGTAATTGTTTTCATCTTTGTTTACTAATGACCTTGTTCAACCATATAGCAGATCTACTCGTATTTAACGCATGAACCAGTAAATATAAACTCTCACCTTCAAAAATCTTCGCCAGAAAGACTTCAAAACAAGATAACAGTTTCTCTGAATCTCATTCACTGACAATGCTAATGTTCTTTCTGCCAATGAGAAAGAAAGCCTCCAATCCAGATCAACATCTCCACCTTCGCCTTGTAAAACACAAGGAAAATGTGTAAATCATTCAATGGCCATGGCTTATACTCTTCGAATACATTTCAGTCGTCATGAAGTAGACATAACAACTTTCTGATGTCAAATACATATACCATTCATACACAATACAAAACATTCAGCAACGAAAGTTAATTCAAAACCAGCTGCCAATTCCTATATATTAATTGTTCAAGGCCAGATTTATTGAGAGATCAATTCACCTGGGTAAGCCTTGGGGACCACATGGCAGCCATCATCAACGATTTTCTGAACAGTGTTGGCATCTGGCCACAGACGTTGACGTGTTATCCATGGACGCGATATATCCGGCCAATTCTGACACCTCAACGCGAGTGTCACATCAACCATTTGCTCAAATAAATATTCTTCGTCCTTGGGTCCTGAAAAACATACTCAAATACTTATTACATAAATTATTTTTAAATGAGGCCAGTGTCCAAAAATAATAGAATAGAATAGAAAAGTACTTGAATAAGAAGTAATAGTAATGACTGACACGTTGAATGATGGGATAGATAGTAGCAGTAACTTATCAAGTCTGAATCACACCTGTGCCAATAGGAAACTGTATACATAGCGTCTGGGCAGGACCTTCCTGGACTAAATCTAATCTTCCTGTAAAGGATCCATCTTTGAATCTTTCAATGAGTTGTTGTTGAACACATGGAAAGCGTCCACGTACATGATGTTCTTGTGATTTTAAGATTTTGGAACGGGACAGAAATTTGGCAATCTTCCCATTCGTTTCACTTTGAATAAAAATATTTGTGATAGAATTGTCACTTAAGATAGCTGAACCATATGATGATGCGAACACTCGAACATATCCAGGGTGATTACCAGATTTCATTTCTAAGAGTGTACAACTCCCTGTATTATTACTTGCCCATTCCAACTCTGATATTGCATTACTTGGTCTCTCCCCAAATTCACTCTGCTCATTCACTGTTGCTATGGGAACCATGATATCTATCTCATCGTTAATGTATACTTGGTCACGATATTCATCAACAAACGCGAACCCTTCACTCGTGCTTCCTGTCCAAACATATGAAGATAATCCTTTCAAATTGTCAAAACATGGTATGACAACATTCTCGAGAATATCAGCAAACCGTCCTGTTACTTTCATGAGCTTTGGTCCCATTTTCAACTCATCCGTATCATCAAGTTTCAATTTGAGAAATTTATAAATACATGTTGCTGCTAGGTCTACAACATTACCAAGCACATGTAATGGAATTGAAGTAACTGGATCTGTTTGAATAGACACCATGGCTTTAATAGTTTGGATAACATTCTCCATATCCCGCTCATTCAGGTAACCTTTCTCGGCACTGACTTGGTTGATTTGGTGTAGTTCATCAAGGCCTTCTTTTACATGAGAGAATGCATCAACCAATTCTGTATTGTCAGTGCTTGTTGCTATAAAAAAACAAGGTATGCAATATTGTTAATATGATTATATTAACATTTGAATGACTTTGTAGCTTGTATATTTGTTTAGCTTCTAATTTTCCTATTATATTTGTTTCATTACATATACTGCAGTGTGTTAATGTGTGTATGTTAATGACATGATGTATGTGGTCACAATGTGTTGCATGATTTATTGAATCCAGTGAACAGCAATCATTGCAATTACAAAACTGTTTACTATGACTATTAATCAATGAGAAGTGGAATCACAAATATTGTCAAGGACAGTATTTAAAACATATTTATTATTATTATACATCTGTCACTGTAACGCCATAAGTTATAGCGTGCCGTGATTTTGCGGTAATTTACGGGGTATTTTCATCTTACAATATTAGGAAATGTGAGTTCCAAATATGGATTGATTATGCGCTAAGCATCTTCTAATAATAAAAACAAACAGGGTTTGACCAGACTCCACACAAAAATGTTCGCTGATTCTGTTCTAAACTTTTTGAATTTCGGCACTCCCATGATTTACCCTTGGAAGGAAAAGATGTATACTCAGAGAGTATGTCGTTGCATCGACCTCAGCTGGGTGTCGGTCCATGCTCCCGCTGTACCGCCTTTGTGCATACTTTGAGGTATCCTCGTAATAACCTTATATGATGAATATAGCAATATGAATTGATTCCTACCTTTCTCAAGTATTTGATACTCCTCTGGGTTTACGTCTGGATCAACAAAATCAGTGCCATATGGAAAGACTAACTTTTTCCCCGAAAACTTACTGCCGCTTACAGTAGTGAACTCGAATTTGTCTAATAATAAAACAGTACATATATAGATTTAACATAATATACTAGTTATTGTAAATTGTTTTGAAGAATCTATTGTTTTCGAAATCATAATTCTTTTTTTCTAATAAAGTTGATATATGGAATGGGTACCCACAATGCAGCATTCAGGATGTTTACTAAATAGGATTTAAGCAGAGTGTACTTGAAAAGTACATACCACTTCATTAAGAGTAATATTACTATATACTGTGGAATACTTTATTTTCACTGGAATTAATTTTCGCTGAAAAGGCTTTTTGGGCGTTTTGCTTGGAATTTATTTTCACTGATTTTTGATGAGTTTAATGTGAAATATAGGAAAAAAAGTATATTCGCTGGATTTTATTTTCACGGAATCATCCCTTCAGCGGAAATAGCGAAAATAAATTCCAAGCGAAAATAAAGTATTCTACAGTATTGCAGATTGTTGATTTATTTCTTTATCGAACACACCTTGAATATTGTGCACTTTATTTCCACGTTTTTCAGTAGATTCAACAAGTTCACTTGCCATGGCAATCTCCTTTACTTCCTTCAATGTGACCTTCTCCCAGTTAGCATCAACACAGAGTAGTACATATATATCTAATATACAATTTAAACTGATTGGTACTTTAAGATGTATGTGATCGTTTGTATGTTCATCCATCTCCAAAAATTTCATGTGAACCAACTGCTTTCAAACTTTGGACAACACATTATATCAAAAATCGGTTGCAGGTGGACATTGTTTTTCTTTCTTCAAAGTATAATCCAAGATGGCGGATTGGTGTTTTTACTTCACAGTTTTTTTCGACTAATTAGATAGAGACTATATTATACAACACATATTACTTTTATGTGAACTTATTGACTTAAGCTGACTGAGT